TAGGGTGAGTTTTAAATAGGGACAATTTTTAACGATTTTAAAGAGCCACAGCTACCAATATTTGGGTTTTAATTGGTTTTTAGTAGGGGAAATTTTTTGTATGATGTTTTAATACGCTGTGAGCCGCCCTGAGTCCCATGGGGAGAAGGGCGGCATATAAATCCTGTTAAATAAATAAATAAATAAATAAATAAATAAAGAAGGGGACAACCAAAATATAGGATACTTACTGAATCCAACATATTTAAGTCAATATGGAAAGGTGATTTTTTTTCCCATATTGACTTAACATATCTACTTTCTAGTGTATTTAGATCCTAATATAGTCTAAATTCACTAGAATTCTACTATCTCAGGAAACAATTACGTCAGTTAGAAAGTTATGGAATGGAATGTCAAATAAAAAAAGATTTGATCCTTTTTCCCATGCTAAATTAACTTTCTGGAAAACCCATCTTTAAAAAATTGGGAAAAGATAGTGATATGGAAAAATTGGATGGAAGCAAGTACATGGACCAATTGATAGATAATAATGATTTTTTAACATATGCTGTATTACAAAATATATCAAATGTAACCCAATGGCAATATTTACATATTTACAGTTACATTTGTTAACAATATTGTTAGCCTTTTCATCTGAGATACTAGAACACCTGGTTAAATCTTTTAGCATAGTTAGCTAGCTAGCTATCATCAATAAATCAAATTGATATGCAGATGCTGAGAAATGAGTGCAATAAAGAATTAAGTTATGCAATTATATATAGCTTAAATAATGGGACAGTATCTTAACTTCTACAACAACTGCGCCAACAGTATCTCTAATTATGATTTACTGTATATAGTACAAAAAATATTTAGAATTTATTGGACTCCATTACATTTGAACAAAAAAATATTGTTTAAGGCAGCTTAAGATAATAAGATAATGCTTCTTTACTGTATATATTTTTACAATGTCCTATATTTAACAAGTTTGGGGAGAATGTAGTGGACTATATAAACATGACTGTGTCAAAAGCTAAACTGTTTAGAGAATAATATTCTCCTGAACTATATATCTGGTACTTGGAATTTGATAACTGGATTTTGACAACTATATATCTAGCACTTGGATTCTAACAACATAAACGGATTCTCTGTGTCCTTACTATGGGTGAAAAACTGATATTGCAATATATGAAAAATAAATGTATGGCTCCATTTACTCAACGCATTGAAGACCTGACTGCACTTACTACTTTTGAACAAATTGCATACAGACTTAAATTTTGTATGGGCAACTATAATGAAATATAAAAGTCAGGGGTGCTTTTCTAGATCTAGCATATTTCTGCTTTTCATTTTATTCTATTTATACCTTAAAGAGAGTTGGCGGAACTAAAACATTTTACATTTCTGTAATTCTAGTAAGCCTCACCTCATCCTCTTCTGAGTGAGATTTATTATCCTCTTCCTCTTGACTTCTTTCAGCAGTGTCATTTTCTTCTTCATAATCATCATCTTCACCACCTTCATATTCCAAGAGACAGTAATTATTAAATTTAGTACAGTAACGATGAAAAATATAGCAAGGATACATAGATTGTCTGATAAATAAATAACTACAATGAGTTCTCAGGCCAGATTGGTAAAGTGGTTAAAGCACTAGGCTAGAAACCCAAGAAACCGTGAGTCCTAGTTCCACCTTAGACACAAAACCATCTGAGTTCCTTTAGGCCAGTCACTCTTTACAAGCCCTAGAAAGGAGGCAATGGCAAACTACTTTCAAAATCTTCCCAAGAAAACTGCAAGGATTTGTACAGGCAGTTTCAACTGTCAACTCTGAGTCAAAGGTACACACACAAAAAGGATGAATCTTTAATGTATACAGTAATACAGTCTGTCAATTAACAGATTACATAATTATTCAATCTCACATTCATATTACTCAAATTTTGTAACTAATTTTATCTCAATCAACTTTTTTGTCATTCTGCATTTGGGTCATAATAGCACTTGGAGAGAACCTGAAATGGGTATTTATCGGATGAATAGAGCAAATTGAATGCATGTCCATCCTTTCCTCTCCCTTTATGATGCTGATGACTTCCTGACATTACAGTGGCTATGGATAGGGCCATTCCTCTCCTTTCCTTCTTACTATGCTTTCTCCTGCTAAGGAACACTTCAGACTTGTTTTATTTTTTTCTCCTTCTCTTATACTTTTAGAAAAAACATACTTTGGTCCATATGCAGAATAGCTCCACATTGTTTCATTACACAGACCAAAACATATATTCCAGATGGAATGCATGGAGCAGTTCATATACAGAACATCTGAATATCTTCAAATAACCACATCGGAAATGGACTAGTGGGATTACGGATTTTATTGAGGAACTCTGGATGTGTATTAAAGGGTGACATAGACTATATATAGTAAGTATGGAATATTTAAGAATAATTTTCCAGCTTGGAGTATGTTTCAAGTGGTTCAGCAACTAATGTGAACTACAATTTTGCCAGTTTATCACAGTTTCAAATAAATATTATCAAAATCTCTTACCTCCTTCACCAATATTTTCACTGATTTTTTTTATTTCATCCTTTTCTGATATCTCTTGTTCTAGTTCTCCTTTTGTAATTGGCTTAGCTAAATCAGTTTTTTTGTAGTCTATATCTTCATCCATTTTCTAAAATAGAAGGATTAATTATCTGATATTCAGACTTAATTTTTTCAAAACATTACAAAGCAGTTGAATGTCCCATGCTTGCCCATTTCCTTTCCTTCTTTCTTTCTCCCACTACAATATATTTCTAAACATATTTTGAGCCAAGAACCGATCAAACAAATTACTGATTTTTATAATAAAAATGAGATAGATACCTTGGATGGCCAGCAGAACAATATGCCCATTCCTATAGGTAGTGCCAGCGTTAAGATATAAATTATCCAAAGCCACGGGCGCTCTTCTGCAGCAGTTACCAACTGGCTGAACATACCAGGCTAAAAAAGCAAAGGTCATGCACTTATTTTAGAGCTCAAGCTTCATGGAATTTTCTTCAATACATTATTTTTTTTTTCAAAAATGTTGATCAATCCATGCGCTATATCAATTATAAGCAAGAGTGTTAATATGAAAGAAACATCTGAACATAAAGAAGCCACTATCTTAATTATGTTATATCTCAAATCAACAAAAATTGGTGGATCACACATCTGGAGGAAAAAAATATAGTCATTTGCTTCATGAAACGAGAATGTTAGTGATTGAGGTAACTAATATTTAAAAATAAAGTTTTGTTCTCAAACAGATTTTATCATAATCCAAGAATTGATAATATAATGTTGTATTTTCTAAACAAGAATTCCTCTCTATTACATTTTTTTTAATATTCTTTGACCATTCTTCTCATGCTAAAATCAGGCTACAAAATATGCTAAGAAAGGAAGGGTCTGCCTATTATTAACATCTCTTCTGAAATTTCTCCCAAAGTCATTGGTATGAAGTCAGTTATATATTTACAACTAATACATATATACATACATGGATTCACAAGTGGCAGCTGTATTTAAAGGGCTTTTGCACAGAAATATCTTATGCACCACTTGCAACCATTCCTTGATTGAAAAGTCATGCTCACAATTACTGATGTTATAGTTAGTTTCCATTCAGTTTATACTAGCACATTCTATATAGGCTGTTCCTTGGAAAGCATTTGGAAACTACATTTCATACAAAATATGACAGCAGAGGCAGTGGTAGGTGTTTTTCATTATATTTGGGTGACAACTGCACTGATTCCCATTGACTTCTGAGTGCATTCCAAAGCTACCTTCAAAATCATACATGGTTCTGAACTAGGTATCTGAGTGACCACCTTCTATATTTGTCCTGTGACAAGATGGGCAGCAAGCAAATTTAATAAATAAATAACAACATTCATCTACTATCCAATCAAATTGAATAGGGGAAGCTTCCTCCAGGTCCTATATATTTGTGAACACCATCTAATGGGACTTAGAAAATGGGAATTTTCAATCTCTGCCCAAATGTTTTGGAGCTCTATCCTTACACTCCTCACTCATGGGTCTTTAGGAATAGTAGCAAGAAAGAGAGTACATAAATAAATAAGAGATGGGAGGGCAAAGGAAACAAAGCCCTTCACCGTATTGAAATCTTTTAGCATCACAAACCTATTCAAGAAATATTTGTCATTAACTCCTGAAATTATTTAACTAGGATATCAACTTTTTTTTTCTTCAAAAGTATACAACACTCAATCTCTTGATCCACTAGATTTGTACTGCATAAATGGCATGATGTAACGGGACTGTTCAAATGGGTATTATTATATTCAAATGATGATTATTGATATTGTGAGCATATGTATAAATCAAACTAGACAGAAGACCTGGCCATGAAGACAAAAACTTGCCCAAATCTCAATAAATTTGTTTACTATGTTAAAAAACATCAAATGACATTTTAAGCGCCTTGTGTAAAAGTAAACAAAGCATAAAAGCAAGATTCTAAGGTTAATATAATCAAACTCATCCATTTCTCATCCTTGGGCAATCAGAATGATTGATTAGGAAATCATTATTAGTAAATGAATACAAAACATTGAGCATAATCAACATAATAAATAACATAACACATTAAAAATTAAGTATCATTGGAATTTTGAAATGGTATGCATTTCAGAACTTTTTTGCAGCAACTGTATGTATTTGAGACAAAAATATAATCAATTCTCACTTCGTTGGCACTTGCAATCAATTTTTTAAAGCCCCAGCCATCTGCTGCCCATCGATCAGCAACTTCTTTGTCTGAACATATTATGAAGTTATCAAAGTAAATATTAGATGTCATAGACCAGAGTTCTAAACCCATAGCATCAACAGTAGTCATCTGAAAAGGATGAGTATCTTCAAAATAGTCAGGATTAGGAATTTTCTGAGGACTCCATATACCCTGTAAGAGGAAAATAATAGAATCCATTTGAAAGAAGAAAAACATTAATAACCTAATATGACAGATAGAAGGTTGGCAACCATTCAAAAATGAAGCTTCCCATTATTTTAGAGTGAATTCTAAAGGTACAGATAAATCAAAAGTATTTTTACATAATCCAGCCTCTGGTTCCCATTGATGAATTCAGTCTGTAATATTTTATGGATTGGAAAAGAGCGCTTAGTGCATCAATTAAACTAAAATATTAACCTGTCCCTGAATTGTATTTGTGGCACAATATGAATAAGTTATTTCTCTGTATATTTAGTCCTTTTTTCCTTTCTTTATGGCATGAGTAAATGAGGCAGTATAATTAACCCCAGCACAAATTTCTAAACTTATGAAATTGAAAACAATGGTTTATTAGAATTCTTCTCATTTGATTTTTTTGCACAGCAAAAGAAAGAATAAAAAATCAAAAACTAAGTTGAAGTTTGCTCATCCAAACAAGGCCACCGTCAATTGGTTTAATGATAAGAAGAAATATCTTACTGACGTAGATAGCTGCTTGTGTTAAAGATTTTTATATTTCATTTGGAGTAATACTGTAATTCATACATCATGGTCCAGGATCTTTTAAAGCAGTGGGTATTATTTCCCATTATGTTGCAAATGTCAAAAATAAAATTAAATAAACTAGATTTTATAATAATTGGACATTGTGAAATTTTAATTTTGACCCAACAGTACCATATACAGATGCTATAGATCAGGGGTATCAAACTGCCGGCCTGCGGGTCAGATGCGTCACGCAGAAGCCGCGCCCATCCTATTGCCAGCAATGGCAAAACAGTCCCGATATGTTGCACGTCACGTGACGTCGCGAGTTTGACATGTCTGCTATAGATGCTACTTTGCCAATTTTCTAGAATATAAGTCCTCTTGTGCTTTCAAATAAGTCTACACTCTAGTCTATGGAAGTGTCTAAGGTAATTTGTCTAGGTTGAGATAAATGGAAATCTTTTCGATAATTCTGGACAGAAAAAAAGGTCCATAAACCTAGATCACTCACTTTAGAGGAAAACTAACAAATTAATAGAGTAGATAGATACCTCTAAGAGTTATTACCAGCACTTCTTCGAAGAACCTACTCTTCGCAAAAGTTTCATAAAACCAAGGAAGTCCAGTTGCCTTTTGAAAAAAGCACCTTTGAGACAATTATCACATTTGTTCACCATTTTGTATTTTATATATTGGGTTATTTTTTAATACTTTTTTTCCTATTTATTGTTTGTTTTTGTTGCACAGTATCCTCAGTTTCATTGGGTTTTTGTTGGGAAGCACTATAAATCCATTAAATAAATATATAATAAAATGTATATGAAAATTTTATTAGTAAATACAAGCAGCTTTACTGAATCCAAATAAAGATCAAAAGTCATCAACTTTAAGATTTTTTCTTTGTTTTCAAACAGATAACACAGTGCACTTTTAATCTTCCACTTCTATTTTTTATTACATATATCAACATCTAACTCAATTTTCCCAATGCTATTCTATATATTTCTTATATAGCTGATATGAAGCATATACACACAAAACAAAGTTACAAGCAGAATTGGGGTAAATTTCATAAGAATAACAGTTCTTGGAATAACTGTATGAAGGGCAGTGAGATATCTGAAGCAGTCCACTGATGACAAACTGTTTAGTGAGATAAGAATGATGATTATTGAAATGGCAGCGATTTATGACAGTTGTGAAAGCATGAAATAAATCACCTTAAAAGAGGGCATGGCCGATTAGATGTTGGTACAGAAATACAATCTGTTGCAAGTATCATATGTATAAAATTGACATCAATCCACAAACAGAATCTAATATGACCAGCATACATTTTAACTTCTGGTTCTCCTACCATGCAATGATGATGTGAGATTTGCATTTTAGTAACGGAACAGTTAAAAAGGTCCATTATAATTCCCAACAAAATATATAGTAATCAACATAATATATAACAATTGTTGCTATTACCTGATAGTTCGGATTTTCTATCATTGGAGGCTTCCATTTTCCTTTATAGTTTGGATTGTTCATCATGGGGTGTGCCCATACCCCACAACCAGGTGCAGCTTCACATTTTGGATTAGGAATCTGTGGAGCTTCCCACTCCCCATCCATTTCTTCATCCCTGTAAAACAGATAAATGTATCTATTCAAAAAACATTTTTTTAAAAAAAGGATGGAACTTTACCTCCGAGACCGCCTTCTGCCACAGATTACCTCCCACCGGCCGATACGCTCCCACAGAGAGGCCCTCCTCAGGGTGCCGTCAACCAGACAGTGTCGGCTGGCGACCCCCAGGGGGAGAGCCTTCTCTGTCGGAGCACCCACCCTCTGGAACGAGCTGCCCCAGAGATCCGGGTGATTCCGGATCTCCCCTCCTTCCGCCGCGCCCTCAAGACTTGGTTGTTTCAGCGGGAAGGACTGGCCTAGGGGTATTTTAAATTGGTTTTAACTAAATTTTAGTTAGAAGCGGCCTATTTAAATATTTATTTTTAATCATTTTCTTAAATTTTGTATTGTATTGTATTGGTTGTTTTTAAACTGGCTGTAAGCCGCCCTGAGTCCTCCGGGAGAAGGGCGGGGTATAAATATAATAAAATTCAAAAAAAAAATTCAAATTCAAATAACAAAAACATGCCTTCCCTTCTCTCTGTTTAAACAGCTGAAGACATAACTCAAAAGTTAATAAAAAAAAGATAAAGATAAAGGTTTCTCCTGTCCAACTCTTGGGAGTGGTGCCCATCTCCATTTCTTAGCCTATGGAGCCAGCATTATCCAAAGATATTTCTGTGGTCATGTGACCAGCATGACCATGCCAAGGGCCATGGAACGCTGTTATCTTCCCACCAAACTGATGCCTATTTATCTACTTATATTTGCATGCTTTTGAACTGCTAGGTGGGCAATTCAAAATATAATAGTGACACATAAAATATGTCAGTTTTCTCTAAGTTGACTTCTTGCAATCAAACTCTTGCATCCTGCTAGAGCAGACATGTGAAACACAAGGCCCGTGGGCCAGATCTGGCCCAATACGTGGTTCCGTCCGGCCTGGGGACCTGCTCTGAAAAGAGCGAAGGACTGGCCCGCCGCCCCTCGGCCTGGCCCGGCCCAGGCCGACTGGGCACTGATCTACAACCTGATCTACAACTTTGATGGTTGCGTCCATCAAAGCCAGAATGTGCTCAGCCTTAAATCCATGGGGAAGCCCCGCTCCGCTCCCTGGGTGCGCACACAAGTGGAGTCTGGTGTCTCTCTGGAGAGAGAATAAAAAGCTCTCCATCCTCTTGGCTTGTCTCTCCGGAAAAGAGAAAATAAAATCTTCTTCCCCCAGTCAATCTCCTCTTCCCCTTTAAAAATCCCTCCCCAAGAGCCCTGCCCCGCCACCAGCCACCGCAGAGGCTGCCGGAGCTCCCAATCTCTCTGCCGAATCTGCAGAGCTCTGGCAAAGCCTCCCAGCCAGCACCGATCCCAGCCAGCGCCAATCCCCTCCCAACTCTCCTCTCCACTATACTTTCTTCCTTCTCTCCTTCTCATCTCCTTCCTTCCTCCACGCTCAGGAAGGGGTGATGGGAGGGGGAGAGATTGCCAGCGCTGTCATGTTGCTGCCGGTCTTGCTATCACGCGTGGGGAGAGTCTGTCCCAGTGAAAGAAAAGCCTCATGGCTGCGAGGCTAGCGGTACTGGTGGGAGGGGGGATTGCGCTGATCTACAACCTGGTTGTGTCCATCAAAGCCAGAATGTGCTCAGCCTTAAATCCATGGGGCAGCCCCGCCCCCTGGTGTGCACACAAGTGGAGTCCGGCATCCCTGCTGGCTGTCTTGCCCTGCAGGCTGACTTCACCCAGGATGCCGGTGCTGGCCGTCTTCTGTGTGCACACCCGGGGGTAGGACAGAGGTGGCGGGGCAGCTCCTTGCTGGTTCCAGTGGATCTTAGGCTGAGCGTGTTCTGGCTTTGATGGACGCAACCAGGTTGTAGATCAGCACCACTCCCTCCCCACCAGCACCTCCAGCCTCGCAGCCATGAGGTATCCCTTTCAATGGGATCGCCCCCGCCCGCCCACATGGTATAAGAATGGCCGGAAGCAGCATGTTAATGCTGGCAATCTCTCCCCCTCCCATCACCCCTTCCTGAGCGTGGGGGAAGGAAAGAGATGAGAAGGCGAAGGAAGGAATGGAGGGAGGGAGGGAGGAAGGGAGGGAAGGAGGAAGGAAGGGAGCAACGGAGGGTGGGAGGAATGGAGGATGGGAGGGAGGGAAAAAAGGGAGAGGAAGGAAGGAACAGAGGGAAGAATGAACGGAGGGTGGGAGGGAGGAAGGAACAGGAAGGGAGGGAGGGAGGGAAAAAGGGAGGGAGGAAGGAACAGGGAGGAAAGCACGGAGAGTGGGAGGGAGGGAGGAAGGGAAGAAGGAAGGAACAGAGGGAGGAAGGAATGAAGGGTGGGAGGGAGGAAGGAAGGAAGGAAGGAACGGAGGAAGGAAGGGACAGAGGGAAAAGGGGAGGGTGGAAGGAAGGAACAGAGGAAGAAAGGGAGGGTGGGAGGGAGGGTGGGAAAAAGGGAGGAAGGAACGGAGGGTGGGAGTGAGGAAGGGAGGGAGGAACAGAGGAAGGAAGGGAGGAACAGAGGAAGGAAGGGAGGGTGAGTGGGAGGGACCATGTCCCGGCGCTCGCCCTGGTCCCACCCTCCTCTGCCGGAGACCCTCATATCTGCCCCAGTCCTGCCCAGGCCCCCCTGAAGTGAGTGATGTCAAGATGGCCACGCCCACCCAGTAGGTCACGCCACCCCAGCCACGCCCACCCAGTAGGCTGTGCCCATCTCGGCCACACCCGCCCGGCCCCCTGAGGGGAACCACAATGCTAATGTGGCCCTCAATGAAATTGAGTTTGACATCCCTGTGCTAGAGGTTTTAGTGTTTTCACTTATTCATTACTGCAACATATTGAAAGAGAGAATGCAGATGTTTTTCTTACATCTCTTAAGGTTTTTACTTCAATGAAATGTATAGTGCAATTATTAAATGTTTCAATTACATGTGATCTATGAATCAATGGATCACATGCTACAGATATATGTTTAAGATTCAATTCTTAATAGATCAGTTAAAATAATTTCTAATTAGCATATAGTGAAAATATCATTTTAAGAAAGCTTAAAACCCCATTTTTAATCCAAACCTTTCTGAGTTGGTTTTAGAATCTTGCCTGAGCTTCCAAGTGGTATTATGGTTGACATTAAATTCTGGAGCAATATGCTAGCTTTTCTAAAGTTCTCCTTTCTGCCATAAAATTAGGTAAACAACATTTCAAGTAAATAAATAAACTCTTAACATTTTCTAATGCACAATGTTGAGAACTATTGCTCTTATTTGATATATTAATTTTCATACCTTAAAAGATTCAATTTTCAGTTTCTGAACTAAACTTAATAATCAGTTTTTACATATTTAAATACAATATAAAGCAACTAAAGCCAGCCAATAAAGCAAAAGATAAACACAATTAAAAAACTTACAGATTCCTAAATAAATATCTTCAATCTAATCTGTTACAGTAATAATTACCAGTCTTCTGGTTTTTCTGCATTTGGATCTGGAATGTATTCAGGTTCATTATCAAGCCATCCTTCAGGTTTAACAGCATCAGGATCTTCTATGTTTGGAGGCTCCTCTTCATTCCTTAAAATTACAAACCAATTTTATCACAAAATACATAAAAGAGCAGCAAGATACTTT